GGTGTACAAAAAGAGTAATTTTAATTGAACGTGGCAGAAAACGGAACCCTGAATCAATTATCATGCACATCCCAGGCAAATTTAGAAGTCCATTAACCCCATTCTACGATTTTCAGTTTTCACCTAACAAATTTAATACAAAATTATCAGATTCAATAGACTTTCACAACAACTGAATTAAGACAAATGATCACCTGGTAGAGGTCTGCATATGTAATCTTAGGATGCTTTGCCTTCACTTCCTCTATGACACCAGAAAATAAGACCACTCTTAGAAAAACATGGAGATCGACATAGTTCCAACCAATGATACTACTTTGACTAAACAATCAAGTTGGTCCTTGAAGTATCACCTCTCTTAAATATTAAATGGTCTTTAAAATGTACCGAAAACTCATCAAATTAGTCCCAATTATATTTTTCTAATCACTCATGTTGAGAGGAACTGAAGGTTTTCAATGTTTTGAGGAATATGTAGCATATTTTCTAATATTTTAGGGACTGTATATATAATTTGGTTACTCTAAGGACTAATTAGGAAAGAGAGTAATACTTTAAAAACTAAATTGATGGTATATGCAGTTACTTCTGTTAAAAACATCCTAAGCGAGTTAAATAAAAATAGGTCTGATTTAGCACAAGGCACGACTAAGAGTCCATGACAATATACAAATCAAATTCAAACCTATACGTCCTGCTGTTAATTCAATACTCAAATAACACAAAGTATATGCAAATAAACAAGCATGGAGCACTACAAAATATTTGATAGCAAAATGAAATTGAGTATTGAATAATAATTGTAGGAAATGATAAAAGCAAAGGAATCAGGAAAAGTAATACCGTAGAAATCAATAGCCTTCTTCAAGCCTCCACCAGCTTTCTTAGCAACCTTGTTTAGTTGCATTTTGAAAACTCCAAACAGCTTTTGGAAACAGAAATCAATCACACATCAACAATCCTAAAATTTTGCGCTACCAAATGAAGACACGTGAACAATTTTATATTCTACATTACATGTCTAACATAAACAATGTTAAAACGAGAAATTCGAAAAGTACCTGAGGCAAAAAATCTGCTCCAACAGCAATGGATGCTTCTGATTCCCTAAGCGCCATCTCCCAATCACCAAATTTTCTTGCATCAGCACAACGATTTAAATGCTTCTCCAATAACAATAGCTTCTGCTCCTCAGATTGATCCTCGTGAATCCCATAGAGACACAAGTGCCGCCGCGAATTTTCAACCTGTCAAAACCTGCACCAAATTCAAAATCCCAATGTCAACAAACTCAAATTCAAATCCAAATCCAAATTCAAATTTTCATGTGACAGCATTACCTAAGATAAAGTGAAGCAAGTCTCTTATGAGCTCTGACATAAGCAGGGTCCAACTTCATAGCCTTAAGGCACTCCCTCGCGGCATTGCTGAGCCTCCTGACCGCCGTGAGTGCCGCCGCGCAGTTGCTCCGGCATGCGGTGTTCCCCGGCGAGATGGCGATGGCGCAATCGCACAGCGCCAGCTCCTCCGCGAAGCTGCCGCTTCTGTACAGCTCGTTCCCCAATCTCTGCACTCCACCGCGCCCAGCGACACGCTGCACGGGGGGGTGGCAGGGCAGCGGCAGTACTGACAACATACATAGACATTTCGGTAACTTACTCATCAAAACTTCACAGTTAAGCGTGCTTGTCCTGAAGTAGTTCTGGAATGGGTGACTTTCTGGGAAGTCTCCCAGAAATTGCACAAGTAAGGATAAAACACGCTAAACAGTGAAATATTGTGAAATAGAACCCTTGAGAGGCCAAATATGAGAGTTGTTACATTAATAAATTTATTAAAATTACAAAAAATTATAATTTTTGACGAAATTTTCTGTCAGAAATTTTGACAGCAATTTCTGACGGATTTTTCTGTCAGAAACTTCTGACAGAAATTTCTAACTCTGACAGAAATTTCTGTCAGAAATTTCTGACAGATTTTTTTTTCGACGTCACTTTTTCTGACGGATTGAAATCCGTCAGAAATTCATCGAAAAAAGAAAAATCCATCGGAAATTTAGTGGTTTCTGTCAGAAATTTCTGTCAGAAATCAGCATTTTTCTTGTAGTGTTATATCAGTGGCCTATCCCAGCACCGCTCTCAAGAAACTCTATGTGCTTCTAGTTCGAAAACATTTCCCTCTCCTCTAGTCCTAGGCTAGACACATGCCTTAAAACATCACATGCAATAATGCATCATACACCATACATGGTTAATCCACCATCATGATCAATATCATTCTCATATGAACATATACACATGTCATATCATATTTAAACATTCAGTACAAGAAAATTTGCTATTATAGACGGCCAGAATCCGTGGGAAATGCCAAATATCCATGGGTAATAGTGCATTTTTGACGGATTACTGATGGACACCAATCCGTCGGTAAATTGCTCGTCTGAAATATTTACCGACTAATTTTTATCCGTGGGTAACTTTTCGACGGATTTTGCCACGGATTTATCCGTGGGTAATTATCCTTGTCTCCGAGGGCGGTGCTTGGTGTTCTTCAAGCAGGTGTCGTAGGACGAGTGGGTGGCGGTGAATGTGTTGCGGGAGGACACCGACTCCTTCATGTACCGCTTCCTCTCCTTGTAGCGCCACTGCTTCCTCGTTCTCGATCTTCGATTGGTTGCAACCCATTCCTACTTTTCTTAAAACCCTAAATATAACCAAATTTACATCGGTTGATCCTAAAACCGATGTAGAATACTTCATTTCTACATCGGTTTTAAAAAGAACCGATGTAATGTACGATTGCGCCATCGCCATCTCGCCGGGGAACACCGCATGCCGGAGCAACTGCGCGGCGGCACTCACGGCGGTCAGGAGGCTCAGCAATGCCGCGAGGGAGTGCCTTAAGGCTATGAAGTTGGACCCTGCTTATGTCAGAGCTCATAAGAGACTTGCTTCACTTTATCTTAGGTAATGCTGTCACATGAAAATTTGAATTTGGATTTGGATTTGGATTTGAATTTGAGTTTGTTGACATTGGGATTTTGAATTTGGTGTAGGTTTCGACAGGTTGAAAATTCGCGGCGGCACTTGTGCCTCCATGGGATTCACGAGGATCAATCTGAGGAGCAGAAGCTATTGTTATTAGAGAAGCATTTGAATCGTTGTGCTGATGCAAGAAAATTTGGTGATTGGGAGAGGCGCTTAGGGAATCAGAAGCAGCCATTGCTGTTGGAGCAAATTTTTTGCCTCAGGTACTTTTTGAATTTCTCGTTTTAACATTGTTTATGTTAGACATGTAATGTAGAATATAAAATTGTTCACGTGTCTTCAGTTGGTAGCGTAAAATTTTGATTGTTGAGGTGTGATTGGCACAAGTGCCGCCGCGAATTTTCAACCTGTCGAAACCTACACCAAATTCAAAATCCCAATGTCAACAAACTCAAATTCAAATCCAAATCCAAATCCAAATTCAAATTTTCATGTGACAGCATTACCTAAGATAAAGTGAAGCAAGTCTCTTATGAGCTCTGACATAAGCAGGGTCCAACTTCATAGCCTTAAGGCACTCCCTCGCGGCATTGCTGAGCCTCCTGACCGCCGTGAGTGCCGCCGCGCAGTTGCTCCGGCATGCGGTGTTCCCCGGCGAGATGGCGATGGCGCAATCGTACAGCGCCAGCTCCTCCGCGAAGCTGCCGCTTCTGTACAGCTCGTTCCCCAATCTCTGCACTCCACCGCGCCCAGCGACACGCTGCACGGGGGGGTGGCAGGGCAGTGGCAGAGCGTCCTTGTCTCCGAGGGCGGTGCTTGGTGTTCTTCAAGCAGGTGTCGTAGGACGAGTGGGTGGCGGTGAATGTGTTGCGGGAGGACACCGACTCCTTCATGTACCGCTTCCTCTCCTTGTAGCGCCACTGCTTCCTCGTTCTCGATCTTCGATTGGTTGCAACCCATTCCTACTTTTCTTAAAACCCTAAATATAACCAAATTTACATCGGTTGATCCTAAAACCGATGTAGAATACTTCATTTCTACATCGGTTTTAAAAAGAACCGATAGTTACTTTTTATTTTATAAATATAATTTGGATTATTCATTCTGTTAAAAATTATTTTTTTTAAATTCAAAATTGTATTAAATAGTTATCCTATTTAAAGATATTAAATCAATCATGGTTATGTAAATAAAAACAAGTTCATTCATACAAAATAAAATGACGTACATAACAAATAAAGTTTAGGAGTTCAAATTTAAAAATAACATATAGTACTATCAGTAGAATTATAACATAATGTCTAATAATTATTTACATCGGTTGATCCTAAAACCGATGTAGAATACTTCATTTCTACATCGGTTTTAAAAAGAACCGATGTAAATTTGCTTATATTTTCTAATTAATTACAAGTTTGCCACCGCATATATTTTAAACTAAATTGATGGTTTATTCAGCTACTTCAGTTAAAAACATCCTAAGCGAGTTAAATTAAAATAGGTCCAATTTAGCACAAGGCACGACTAAGAGTCCACGACCAATATACAAATCAAATTCAAACCTATACGTCCTGCTGTTAATTCAATACTCAAATAACACAAAGTATATGCAAATAAACAAGCATGGAGCACTACAAAATATTTGATAGCAAAATGAAATTGAGTATTGAATAATAATTGTAGGAAATGATAAAAGCAAAGGAATCAGGAAAAGTAATACCGTAGAAATCAATAGCCTTCTTCAAGCCTCCACCAGCTTTCTCAGCAACCTTGTTTAGTTGCAATTTGAAAACTCCAAATAGCTTTTGGAAACAGAAATCAATCACACCTCAACAATCAAAATTTTACGCTACCAACTGAAGACACGTGAACAATTTTATATTCTACATTACATGTCTAACATAAACAATGTTAAAACGAGAAATTCAAAAAGTACCTGAGGCAAAAAATTTGCTCCAACAGCAATGGCTGCTTCTGATTCCCTAAGCGCCTCTCCCAATCACCAAATTTTCTTGCATCAGCACAACGATTCAAATGCTTCTCTAATAACAATAGCTTCTGCTCCTCAGATTGATCCTCGTGAATCCCATGGAGGCACAAGTGCCGCCGCGAATTTTCAACCTGTCGAAACCTACACCAAATTCAAAATCCCAATGTCAACAAACTCAAATTCAAATCCAAATCCAAATCCAAATTCAAATTTTCATGTGACAGCATTACCTAAGATAAAGTGAAGCAAGTCTCTTATGAGCTCTGACATAAGCAGGGTCCAACTTCATAGCCTTAAGGCACTCCCTCGCGGCATTGCTGAGCCTCCTGACCGCCGTGAGTGCCGCCGCGCAGTTGCTCCGGCATGCGGTGTTCCCCGGCGAGATGGCGATGGCGCAATCGTACAGCGCCAGCTCCTCCGCGAAGCTGCCGCTTCTGTACAGCTCGTTCCCCAATCTCTGCACTCCACCGCGCCCAGCGACACGCTGCACGGGGGGGTGGCAGGGCAGTGGCAGAGCGTCCTTGTCTCCGAGGGCGGTGCTTGGTGTTCTTCAAGCAGGTGTCGTAGGACGAGTGGGTGGCGGTGAATGTGTTGCGGGAGGACACCGACTCCTTCATGTACCGCTTCCTCTCCTTGTAGCGCCACTGCTTCCTCGTTCTCGATCTTCGATTGGTTGCAACCCATTCCTACTTTTCTTAAAACCCTAAATATAACCAAATTTACATCGGTTGATCCTAAAACCGATGTAGAATACTTCATTTCTACATCGGTTTTAAAAAGAACCGATGTAAATTTGCTTATATTTTCTAATTAATTACAAGTTTGCCACCGCATATATTTTTTACATCGTTTCTTAAACAACTGATGTAAATATAGCGACGTAAAACAGTATTTTATATTTTGAAAACACCCATATAATAATGAAAATATTATACAATGCATTGTTGTGTGTATCAATGGGATTAGGATTGCTTGCATTTGAAAAATAATTGGCTTATATTTTATTTAATAATTTCATACGGATTTAAATCCGTCAAAAATTTCAGACGGATTTAAATCCATCGGAAATTCCGTCAGAAATTTTAGACAGATTTAAATCCGTCGGAAATTCCATTAGTTAAAATTCCATCAAAAATTTCCGACGGATCTAAATCCATGGGAAATTTCCAACGGATTTTTGTCCATGGAAAATCATCCGTCGAAAATTCAACTTTTTCTTGTAGTGATTCATATATATCATTACCAAGCATACATATGAATCATACACCACCATACATTATATATCATACATACATGATCAAATCTTGAACTTTAAACATGCATAAACATCATTTTCAATCAACATCACTAAACATACTCACGCCTGGCGCAACCAGCTTGAGCTCGACCTAACATCTAACCCGAGAGCTCTAAGGCTCATCCACATCCGGCACAATCAACTCAAGCCCGATGTCCTTAAGACAGAGACTACCAAAGGTCTCCACGCCCAGCACCATATTAGTAAAATGCCACAACAAACCACTATCTGATATAGCGCCCGACATGGTTCTCCTCATGTCCGATGTGAACTCAACCAGAGACTCCATGATGGACTAGCCTTGAAGAATGGTTGATGTTCTTCAAGCTCCACCTTCAATCCTTTTCTTCTCTTGAGGTTAGGCATGCCAATGATAAAGAATCACCTTTGAAGAAGCTCCAATGGTGAAGAAGCACTAAGGAGTGCTCGGTTACTCCTTATACAAGTAGAAGGAGACAAGGTTCTAAGGCACAAAGGTGGAAACCTTTGTGAAGGAACTAGGAGAGAAAATTCTCCACGACTAAAGTGACTTTGAGAAGAGATAATTCTTTTAGAAATTTTGATTTCATTCATCTAAAGTGTGGGAAAATGAGAGGTTTACAAATATATAGAAGTAGGAATCTTGTGGAGGAAGCTAAGCTTAACCATGGTTCAAGTGAACCATGGTTGGCTTAACTTTGACCGTCGACTCTAGTTTTAGGAGGCTTGTGGAGCAAGCTTCTACCTTAGCTTGCTTGGGAAGCAGGCTAAGTTAGAAGCTTAGAGCACAAGCTTCCCAAAAACACTAAAGCTAGAAGCAATTTCGACCAAAGGAAGGAAATTAGGCAAGCTAGGCAGTCTTGGACTCTATTTGCCCCATTAATCCATTTCAAAAATGTTTGATTTGGTTTAGCTAGGTTCATCCAAAAATAGTGAGACCTAGTTAAATTAAATCCTTGAAAAATATGGAGCAAAACAAGTCCAATATGTAAAATTTTGCCTAGGCCCAATTTTGGCCTAATTGCTAAATACACCCTCATGCCTTGCTATTTGCTACCCCTCTTCTACTACTGAAAAATGTAAAAATGGTTGACTTTTAATACAAGGTCAAATGGAGTAAAAGTCCCAAAAGAACCTACTTTAAATTCCCTATACAATGATCTATAAAAAGGAAACAAAGTGCCTTACAAATACAAAGGCAAAATGAACCTATACAAGTAACTACTATATTTACAAACATATGAAAAGGTCTTCAAAATTATCCCATTCCTTTTGGTTCCTTTAATATATCACCTTGTCTCTAAGCTTTCTTTGAGAATGAGCTTATGAGGCTCCCTCTCAAAGAAAATCTTATATACTTTTATCTCTAGCATCCACTAAACTTTGAAATCCTAGTTACTATGTTACATAATTATATATGATTTAATAATTTTATTAATTAAGAAATTAAATTTTGTTAAATTTTAAGTTACAAACCAATTAATTTTAATTATAAATAAAAATAAAATGATTTTAATTAATATTAATCATAGATTAAAATATTCAATCATTAATTTATTATTTAAGAAATTTAATTTGATTAAATTCTACATTTCAAAAGAAGTGATAATAATTAATATTAATATTAATATTAATATTAATGTTAATTATAAACCATTATTAAAAAACTATTTTTGTTGAAACCTAATAATTATTATTAATTGACATTTATGTTCATTAATAAGAAAAATAATAAATTTTTGATTAATATTAATTTTAAACAATAATAAAACATTTTTGACAAACCTCTCAACAACTGGATTCCTATATGAGAAGCTACATATTTGAAAATAATGAATATATGTATATTCTTTATTATTAACTTATTAATTTGATAAAAATATTGAAACAAATTATTTTATAATTCAGTTATAGAAAATATTTATTTGAATATATTACCTTTAATTATAAACTTTTTAAAAGATTATTTACCTGAATTTTATATTTTTGAATTTGAATCTAAAAAAAATAAAGGATGAAATATTATATAAATATAAATATAAAAAATATTTATAATAATATTTTTCTTTATCCTATTACAAACAATAATTGTGACACCCATTTATCCTAGGAGAGATACCAATTAAAGATACAAATAACTCTTAAATTCTCATTTCATACTCATTAAGTCAAAAGTAACTCAATTCAATAGAAAAATAATAATAACGGATAATGGTAAAAGATTCCCAACTTAAATATATTGAATTAAAATTAAGAAAGATAACATAGTTTGTAAACTACACTTAGGCCCCCCGGTGTGACATTGACATTAGAGTTTCCATATGCATCTAGATATCTCTATACTCCTCCAAAAATTGAAGATTTTTGTCTACAAAAGATACAAAACATACCAACAAACAAATAAGGAGTGAAAACAATTTCATTTTATAGGGAATGGGCCGCAATCCTCGGTATCCCATCCTTTCATGGTAACAATTATAATAACAATAATAAATACATCAACTTCAATTGTAAACACCATAAATTTCATCGACAACCACATACATCTAAATGCATGGGGTACCTGACCATCATCATCAAGAATATACAGTTCATACCTAAGTCTCCAGTTAACCTTAGGCTACCAACACAAAAGTGTTCCCACTATAACACCAATAGATTCCCACCAAAACTACAGAAACAGGTTCCCACTAGAATCACAGAATCATGCAAGTATGATGTATGTCACAACCATGCAAATGCTTCTATATTAATACATCATGATTGTCATATAATTCATCGTTATCTTAACCAATATCCATATTCATCCATATCAAATGTCATCTATCAAGATAAAAATCATCATTCATCAGGTATATATATATATATACACACACACACACATCATCATCATCATCATATAATCAATCATTAACATCATAATAACCTTATTTAAAATGTCATAAATGAGACTCCTAACATTCTACACAGGACTTGAAAACCTACATTTGACTCTAAACTGAGAAAAGAGCACTCCAATCATCTTACACTCGACTTCACTAAGCCACATTCGATCGACTTTAAGCTGAGACAGAGAGCACCTAGATCTTTTCACGTCCGGCTTCACAAAGCCATGCTTGGCTTTAAGCTGAGATAAAAAACACCCTAAACATCCCATGCCCAGCGTGGACATTTCCTCGACCGGTGCCAGTATGTCTAGATAGTGCCTTTATACGCGTGAAGGCATGCACGACTTCGAGCACTTGAGTCTAGCACCACGTACAATCCAACACCTAAACACACCATGATCGGAACAATCGGAACAATAATCTCAAATAAACATCACAATAAACGATCATGCAAAATTCCAAACAACTAGAATTCATTTTAGTCCATAAAATTAACCACTCGATCGAGGTAGATTCATCCAATTAAACGTCTATGACTCTAACCACTTTCCACACAACACTCAATTAATTACTTCAAAACAATAAAATTATCAAATAAAATTCATATTAGGAATCTACTCGACAAACAACATTAAATGCACACAAGATTACATCAAACATAACACTTATGGGATCGAAGTCAATCTCTCTATCCTTTATGCATACACTCAATTTCCAAAGATGAAGGTTCTCGCTCTCCCATATATTGAGTGATGCAACGTATCAGATCTAAACTCCTACCTCTTCTATGATGATCCCTTCTCCTTGCTCTCCAGATGCGTTCTCTTCATAGCACTAAAGCTTCGAAGAACATGAAGATGTAAAATATATCAACCCTTCTTTGCCTCTCTCCTAATATATAACTCCCTATTTCTCTAAACTTCTTTATTTTTAATTATTTATAATTCTCCTCTTAAAGATTAAATCTATTAAAATAATAAAATAAAATAAAACCATCATTATCTTTCTAATTAATTATTATTAATTATAAAAAATTCTACGATGTTAAAATAATAAATTTATTTATTGTAAAAAATCAATAACAAATTCATATTACATAATTAAAAAATTATATATATATCTTATATATTAATTAATAA